AGATTCCCTATGTATGAGTACCAGAAAGGCTGAGCAAGTGCTTACGGAGTCCTGGTGGTAGCCCTGTTTCATTACCAGTTTTTCCTACTGGGACACTTACTTGCTGAGTGCAGGGCATGTATGTGCCATCCAGTAGATAAACTTAAGTATGCTTAGAGACCACCATAGAGGAATCCATAGTCTCATGGGGGAAGTTGACTCAGCAATGTAAAAAGTAGCATCGCGAGCCCTTACCCGTGCTGGTTGATAGCTAGGTGTGTGCCTTAAACACAGGGTTGGGGGACATTCTGCTGCCACCAGCTTTGCTGAGGATTTTAGCTTTGCAGACAGCTAGAGCCAAGGCTGCAAAATCCTTAGGGCTGAAATACAGCCATAATATGTAGAACATTGCAAGCACTCTTATGCCCTAAACACATAGTATTATTTCTCAGAAACTTGTTCAGTGGTGAGAGAATATGTACAGTAACTGTGGTGATCTTTTCTGTCCCAGGCCTGTTCTCTGCCTCTCTGGGAGGGAGCAGCCTGCAGTGGCTGAGTCGGCCAGGGAAGAGTCCTATTTTCATGAACAACCCCCTGCACACTGCTGGCCAGAGTGTGTGTGCATCTGTGTCTGTGACCCATGCCTTGGAAGTAAACGAGGAGCAGGCAGGGGAGGGCGTGCATGGAGGCTGCTAGGCTGGACTCGGCTTCTGGAGCCAGCTCAAGATCTGCGGAGCTTCTGTGCTCGTTGGCCAGATGTGTCTGCTCTGATGCCAGCTGTTGAGATGAGTCCTAACCTCCCAGCTGCTCAGAGGACCTTCTGTGTGTTCCTCCCAAGCAGGAAGAAAGAAATGACACCCACACCTAATGCCTGTCACAGTGAATCTCTCACGTTTTTCGCGCACATACCAGCTGCTTTCCTTGATCTATCCCATCATCAGACTAAAGCTCACAGAAGCGATTTGTCTGAAGGTACAGAGATAACCAGACAAATAGGATGTATTATGAACCCCTGTGTCATTGGGTCTTTTATTCTCCTGTCTCTTCGCTCCCTAATGTAATTTAGAATGAGTAAATGTCCATTTGCCTCTTTTACTGGAAATGAATGCTTGATGTGTACCTTGAAAAAATACTACAAATTTTTTTTTCTCCTTGAATTTTGCTTGCATTCCAGCCTGAATTTACTTGGCTGAAATAAGCAATAAATTATTTAGCCCGATTTCCACCTCTGTGATCCATGGGGCCCAGAATCAAGTTCCTCCCCCTCATTTCCCACTCCAAGGTGCTACCATGTTTCTTTCTAATGGTGCAGTTTCGTGCTTGTCAAATTGACTTGTGTTGCAAGAAAAAAGTATGGTTTTTTTTTTTTTTTTTTTTAAATTTAATCTCTCTTGAATGGAGAGAAGGGTAGATAACGAGCATATCAGCAATTTAATTTAAAGATAAAGAATTTTCATGAGTATTATTTTCCTCAAAATAAGATAATAAAATGACGTAGAGTTTGGATGATCCCTAAGCTCAGCCAGGGGCAGGAGGAATGCTAGCCCACAGCTCATCACTCCAGTAATGGGGATTTTGTGAGGCTCAACAAATCTTCTTGATGACCATGCCTTTCTGAATGCTGAGGCTGGCCTCCCTCTTTTTATAGTGGAGTTTGGAAGATCTGGCACACCTGCTCAAGGCAACTCTAAGTGTATTATGGGGGAGTACAGGCCAAGGCTAAACCTGGTTTCTGCGCCCTCACTGTTTCTTCATATGATGGACGCAGTGTTCCTCTCTGCATCCTTGGGGGAAGATCAGCTCACAGGGGGAAGGGGACACAGGACCCTCCTGATCCGTCACCCACCACCTAATCCAGTCTTCCTCCCCTTGTCTGTTCCCTCTCTTCTTCTTTGCAAGGTGCCTAGCTATGAACACTCCCTGACCCCACTGTGTACCTTGTAAGCCTTTATTCATTTACAAGCCCAGATAGTTAACTATCAGCCCTTAACCTCTTCTCCTCTTGCTAAGTACCTTTATTCACTTACTGATTTACCCAGCTAGTATGTGCCCAGGCCCCAAAGTGAGGGCCCTGCACCAGGGGATATCAGGGAGCTCGCTGCCCTTGGCAGCTGATGGTCAGACAGTGAGCACACAGTGTGCCTGTCAGGATGCAGCCAGTCTGGGGCTGTGCCTGGCTCTGCAGAAACTAGGAGATGACTGTTGAGCCTTGCACTGGGATTTCCAGTCTGATGACTCCTCCATTTTCCCATATCTTTGTGGCCCCAGCCTGAGGCCATGGGGTCCTGCCCAGTGCAGAGGCTCCTGACTCTGGGGAGGGAGGGAACAACCATGCCCTCGAGGACCTGTGTCACCAAAGGAAAAAGGGTTCCCCATTCATGAAGAACAGGAATGAAGGCCAATAGGGTAAGGATAGCTGTGGACAGGCGACTGGGATGTCAAGGGACATCTCAGGGCTCTGACCACAGCCTTTTCCCCAGGGCCAATGAGGAGGCTTGTGGTGGGGGCACATGAAACCTATGCAGGGTTTTGGAGTGACACCTGAGCCCAGGTGTGTAGCCTGCTCCTCATTGCCTCCCATAACAGGAAGGCAAGAAGCCTTCCCGAAGGCATGTGAATGCCTCTGTGGACTGCACTTCAGCTTTTAAAAAGCATCAAAAGATGTGATCAGCTATGTCTAAAAAATAAAAATACTTTCATGAAAATACCAGTAAGCCCCTCAATTACAGGTTCAGGGTGAATGTAGAGCGCCCCAGACATGCTGGGGTTTATTTTCAGTATTAGCCCTAACCTCTGCTCTTGCTATGACAAGATTCTTGTGGAGATGTTTACTAAAATATGCACTTTAAGTTCTTAACCAAATATGACTTTGAAAATTCAAACTATAAATTACAACGATTACTTGTGGTGTTTAAATACAATGAACCTGTTCTTGTTTTCACTTTTATCTTTTTTTTTTTTGTTAATTTTAATAGATCTTAGAAATAGAACATTATTGTATATCCATTTGAGTGGAAGGCTTGTGATAATAAACTATTTTTTTTTCTCCTAAAGGTCCTGGACCCTTGAAATTATTAGTAATGGAAGGGACCATTATTACTTAAGGAAAACTCCAGGTTGTGTGGACCGATTCCCAGGAGTTATATTATTCTGTATGTCATAGTTAGTGTATGTGATGTTTGTGGAAGATGTTTAAATCCAAAATGTTTAAAATCCTTTTGTGCATAAAATAATTGGAATTTCTCTTAGGGAGTTTTGTTTATATTTATGAAAGTCTTCTATGCCTTTCCAGTTACTGAAAGTAACAAAGGAGGCATTCAATATTATAATGTAGAAATTTCTATTTTCTTCTTAAACTTTTTTTGAAGAGAAAATAATTCCCAATTCATTACAGTTTGTTTTAGCTAGAACTCTCTTCAGATATAGCTGTATCATCGATATAGCTTCACTGAAGATGCTGCATTTCCACTTACAGTACAGGCTTACAGTGCGATATTACCTCTGCCCTGTGTACGTGTTCCGTCTTTGAAGTACTGAGAATGCCCAGCAGCACAACTTCAATAACTGCTGCAGAATTTGCTACAAATTTAGGCCCTTCAATTTTATTGTTGTGGAAGAATGCTAAATCTGTATTTAGGGCTGGCTTAATCAACCTCTTCGGGGGAGGAGCCCCGAGGGAGCACCACCAGAGGGTGGAGTGCCTCCACCAGGGACGCGCAGGCCCCCCTCCGGGCCTGCCACCTGCACTGTGTGACAGCTTGGGAATGACAGGATTGCACTGCTTTTTACAGTGTTTATAGTAACATGTTGTGAGTGGTAAAGAGAAAATGTTTAATTATGAAAGTCTTTACAAATTAATTTATACATTTTTAACTAATTACACAAAGATTAAGAAGAGTCTTTTCAAATACTAGAAAAAGGTCTTTTATCAATTTAATGAATTTTTATAATGAGTTTTTTTATTACAAAAATGTTGATACAGTAATTTACTTTCCAGGCTTAATTTGAGAGGTGCTTAGAAGCTCTTCAGTTCAGTCAAGCCCCCTTGTTGGTGTCTAAATCTCACCATCAGCATTTTATTTCCACTATACTGAGCTTTGCTTCCTTAAGGAGCTTCTCCTCCCCCTCTTCCTCTTCCTCCTCCTCCCCTTCCTCTTCCTTCTCTTCCTGCCTTTCCTCTTTCTCCTCCGTCTCTTCCTCCTTTTTCAGCAGCTCTCTTAGAGAATTTTCAGTATATTTTGTTCTGTCCAGCTGCTTTGCTTCTGGACAGTCCCCAGGTGCCTGGGGGACAGCAGTTCTGAAGCTTCCAGAACCAAGAAGCAGGGCTACTGTAAGGCCAGCCCACAGGGAGGAGCAGATGTGTCTGGTACCATTGTGCCAATGTCTTAGTTAACTTCTATCTTTGCTGAGACCAAATACCAAACACGCAGAGGTAAAGGAAGAAAGAGTTCTGTTTCACAGTGTGGAGAGGTTTCAGTACATAGTCAGCTGGTTGCAAGGCAGGGTGGCATGGTTAAGGGGCATCAAAGAGGAGAAGCCGTTCATGGCAGGAAGAAGCCACAAAAAGCAGCAAGTAACAAGCATTGACTTCCTTTCTGTTCCTTGTGTCCTGTTGAGACTACCCAAGCAGGTAGCACTTACCATACAGGTGGGCAGCCTTAATCTTAGCACTGCACGATGAATCAGTCCCAGCATCACATGCCATGGCTTCATCCACCTTGGACAACCCCCACCCGTGACCTCGTGAGGCTTGGGGGGACATCTGGATACAAGCCACAGCAGCCTATATCCCACGTTTTCGTGGCAGATGTGCATCTGGGGCACCCATGAGCGTTTTGACCTGCCAGTGATTCTAGCCTGAGGCTTTGTAGGGTACGTTGAGCTCACAGGGAAAAAGGTCTGCATGTTCTAACTTACCTTTCCTTCCCCAGGAATGAGAGAGGAGAGCAGTGGTGTGGTGAAAAGCTGGTGGAAGTGGAGCAGGCCAAAGCTAACCCGCCCTTCCCCGTTGTGTGTTGCAGAGGCTGGAGCACAAGGAGGTCCTCGTGGGCTTGTCGTTCCTGGTGTTCCCGTTCATTCCCGCCAGCAACCTCTTCTTCAGGGTGGGCTTTGTGGTGGCCGAGAGAGTCCTTTACATGCCTAGGTAACTGCTGCCGCGGTCCCCCTTTGCAGCCCTGCCCTCTGCGCCCAGCTTTGACAATATCATGTTCTTTGCATGGTGACGTGTCCACACAGAAGGCTGGTGAGATGGCATTTGTGCCTGTGCATGCATGGGCGCTCGCTTGTGCTTGCGCGTGCGCACACACACACACACACACACACACACACGCAGAGTCAGAGGTTCGCCCTGGGGCACAAGCTGAAGCTGGTTGGAAAGTGCTGACTTCAGGACCGGCAGGAGTTCAGCAGTGTTGCTTACTGAACCATCTTTGTCCAAATGTGTTTTATTAAATATTATTTTTTAGAAATAGATTTTGATTTGTATAAAATACTGTAGAGCATGTCCTCATTTTTTGTTTGTTTTTTTTTTTTCCTTACTTAATTCAAGTGGGAATAAATGAACAAAATGTGTCCTTGAGAAAAAAATGATTTAAAACTTATGAAGGGCATTTAGAAGTGTGCACAATGTCAGTAGGGCCTGAACATGGGCAGTACTGAGGCTCGCCTGTCCTCTTCCTCGCAGGATCTTCCAAGGCCATGTTTCTGTGCAGGTCCTGGAAGGTCACTGGCCCGGCAGATCTCGGTGTTGCTCTTTGCTGACTGTGAGGACTTGAGTGACGTATAAAGCCTTTGCATCAAGTTTGCTCATGTCATAAAATTGAGATTTCAGTAATCTTCCTACAATTAATATTTAGCTTATCCTCCTGATTTTTCATTCTCTAAGTTCTACAATATTTTCTGAAGTTTTGTAAGAATTAACTTTTCTAAAAGGCAGTATCACAATCCAAAGTACTTTAAGGGAATTATGTTTTATGACATCATATTTGATGTTTTTAAAATGCATAATTAGAAATGAGTATCACAATCTCTGATTCCCTCACACTAAACCTAACAGTTTCCTGGGACTTGGCAGCATGGTGATTTAATCTGACCAAGAGTCAGAGGTGAAGCACCATTCTTACGCTGCTCTAAGTGACCTCAGACCTATCTGGAAAAGAGGCCCCTCCTCGTACACACAGCTCAATGAGGACAGCATGCAGCCTAGTTTGTCATGTTCTGTGCTTCCTGGAGATGGTCTTGGATTGGCTCATCCATGGAGAGGAGGGCACCAACCGAGCGAGCATGAAGCGCTGACATCGGTCCTTGTGGGGAGTGTTTCTCTTGGCCCAGTGCAGAGGGTCTTTCGTTGGTCCTTCTCTGCGGTACCGTGATTCCAGTTTCGCATCCAGCTGATGTTTACAGAGCATCTCTGCTGCAAGTGCTGCACTAGCATCTGTAACTACAAAGACAAATGAATTTCACATCTTTTTCTCAGTGTTTATTAACAAAATGAAGTTTTTTACTTGGTTTAATAAGTTCTAATATTCTCTCTTTTTTCTTCATGTATTTAGTACAGGGTCTACAGGGTCTCACTACACAGATCAGACTTGTAAAGATTCCCCTGTTTTCAGCCTCCCAAGCACTGGGGTTATAGGTGCACACCACCACGCTCAGTCTCAGTCGCCATCTCAGTGCGTCCTGGGGGTAGGGCCAGCACAGCACACAGGGGATCGAACCCCAGTCCCTGCATCTGCCTAAGCAGGCACTGTAAACTACTAAGCTATCTGGCTGGCCCTCTAATATTCTTTAAAGTACTACTTACAGTGCTTATTAGTACTAGTTTGTCATTAATTGTACCCAAACATTTATTGAAAGTCCACAGCATTTCAGTCACCATGCCAAGTACCTTGTGCCCTCGCAGCCATGGATTGGCATGGTGAGCACAGGCTCACAGTGCACCCTGAGCACCTGCGCAGAGGCTGGCTGCGGCACCAGTGCACTTCCTCTGAGCCTCAGTGTTCTCCAGCGTCTAACATGGCTATAAGTCAGCACTCAACTTGATGTTGAGATCAGTGAACGAGATCATCACATGCTAACCTTCTAACGTGCTGAGCAGTCGTCCCTTGCAATTTCATGGTGCAGCTTTCGCAGACTCACTGGTGCATGGATTTTCAAAAATAACAATCTCTATGATTTATCACGGATTTTTCACTATATCGCGGGATTTTGCATTACTGTACAGTATACGTATGTTGTTAAAATTATATAGGTTTACAACTTTAGAAAATGGTTAAGAACATTAGAAGTGTTTTTAAAAGTGCAGCAAAGGTTTATTAAGCCTTAAAATATATATAAATACAACATTACTACCTTACCAATTTCCACTTGTGGCAGGGGCGTCTGGAACGTAACCTCTGTGATAAGTGAGGGGCCACTGTACATTATACATGGCTGATGAATATTAAGTATTATGATTGATGCAAGCTGTGCCATTGTCATTATTTTCCCCAAATGAAGCCTGAACTCTGAGAGCTCTGGGGGTTGGCCAGGGCGCCAAGGCTCACTGCGGACAGAGCTGGCCTGTGGGTCCTGGTCTACTGACCTGACCACACTTCCTCTTATCGGTGTATCTCAGTGTTACTGTCCACTAAGAAAGAAAAAGAAGAACGTGTAAGCATGGCAAACTCATTTCACTCTGCTCTGTGTGATGACGCGGCCTTGATACTTCCAGGAACCCTGAGATCTGACCCACAGGACTCTGCATTCCAAGTGAAAAAGAATCACAAGTGTGGCAGGGGTTTTCTGATGTGGGTACAAGAGGTAACTTGAGGGGAGAACAAAGCACCCAGCCATAGGGAAGCCCTTAGTAGTGTCTTATTTAGTGGGCTTCCTCTTGCCCAGACATGTGTGTCCCCAGATGCCACCAGGACTGTGCTAGCTCTGGCTCCTCCCGTGCTGCTATCTCCAGGAGCCCCCCCCTCTAATGTCGTGCATTTCTGCCCAAAAGACACAGGAGCAGAGCATCAGCACTGGCCGGAACCAGTGCCTGCCTCTGAGAACCAGATGGATTTGCTTTCTTTGGCCAGCTCCATGAACAGGTGCTCACCATCACTGTCCCATGAGGTGACCTTCACCCCAGAGGCCATCGTTCTCCTCTCATGCTCTGTGTCTGTGCATTGCAGTGCTGTTGCTCTGTCACTGTTTTCTGACACGTTCTCCCAACCACCAGGAAGTCCTGGGTTCATTTCCATGGCATCTCCACGCCCAGCAGGGTACCGAGCTGGCAAGGCTGTACTCAGCAGTTCAGAGTCATGTGATCAAGGAGGTGGAGGTGCTGTCCTCCCCTGAGAGGTGGCCTGAGGTCACCTGGCCACCCCTTGCTCCACAGGCCTGATCAGGCTTGGCAATTTAACGTGGACCTGGAAGCTCAGGGTATTCAGATGGGGTGATGTGTGTCTAGTGAATCCCCGTGTTTCTTCACATTCTCACTGTATCACTGCAGACCAGCGACGGAGCTGGTTTACTTATGGCCCTGGATTCAGTGCTCATCTAAGAAGCTGCCCTGGCTGATTAAGAAGTTGAAGCTTATGAGGTAACTTCTGTGCTGCAGTTGTAGAGCGTGTCCATGACTTTGCCAGAGCCATTTTATAAGTGTTTGAGTTTTCTTTGACAGTAAAAGTCTGACTCAGAAGGAGATGTTATCTGGCAGTGGCCAGCTTCCCTGTCACAGGGAGAATGGAGGACTTCTATACTGAGAGCTACTGAAATCCTCCCCTGGGCCAGAGACTGTTACAGATGCCGCGCCCCTCTTCTGGGGCCAGCAGTGCACTGAACAGGACCTCCCCATGAGATGATCCTGCAGAAGCTCGCAAGTGCCACACGTTGACCTTAGAGCCTTGCGAATCATCAGCAAGCCTTCACCACTGAGCTATACGTCAGCCCTCCTGAGCACTTTGTGCATACGGGCCTCTTCTCTCCACAAATCTCCTTTCATTGTTGACCTGGACAACAGTGTGCCGTGTCCACTGTGCTAGTACCCAGCTTTGTTAAGGAGAGTACAGGTACAGACAAGATATGCTCAGTGAAAATAAAGCCAGGTCATTGTCTTCATGCAGAAACTTTGTTGGCTCTGAAACTGTAGCATGCGATAGGAAAATGGAGTGAGAAGCCCAGTTGGTAAGGACTGTGTGTGGAGCTCCATGATGGGGCCCATGCTTAGCATGGGCAAGGCCCTGCCTGGTTTGGACTCCAGCACCAAAATAACAAATGGAACAACGCAGCTTGTTACACTTCTGAATAAGGTGAGCTTCCTGTGTTCATTTTTGTTTGTTTCAAGCTCCTGTGAGACCTTCACATTCCATCAGACCTTGCAAGTCCCAGGAGCCTGGCTGAGGCCACTCCTTCCAGGCAGAGCTTTGGCCCTTTCACTGGAGAAGCCCAGTTGAGGCAGACTGGCCACATCCTCTCATTTACAGCGAACACCGAAGAAGCCATTTAGCTCTTCTGACTTCTGCTCTTCTTTGCCCTGACCCAGAAAAGCCCCTAAATGGCATTGCTTCCTGATTTGTATGTAGAATGTGGATAAAAGGGAAAGCAATCAGCTATTTGCTTAGTACTTCGTGGCTTTTAGGGTCAGAGTTTTACCATCAAAAGAAATTGAAATAATGTTTTCTTCTAGTGATTAATGTCAGTTTTGTAGCTATCTTTTATGAACAAGGAGGAGAATTGGTGGAGGGCTGAAACCATTCTTTCATAGAAATTTTGTGCTCTTATTCTTCTCAAAGAAGCATATAATTTTATGGCTTCTTTGTATTTTATGAAAGTCACATTAGAAGACTTCAAAGGACTAAAATTTCTTAGAATCGATGAAGCAGAAATACTCAAAGCTCTCAAATAAAGTCATAGAAAGTAATTGAATATTCAGCCACCTGCCACATTAAGAATGATTTATTCACTTCAGTGCCAAAGAGCAAATTCCTAAGCTACTTGAAGAAAACTTGAATGGACAGAGCAAAGGAGTTCACAGGAAGAATTGAAGATGGAAATGATATTTGAGGTTGGATAATATTTGAGATTAGAAGTAGTACAAAAGTAATGGAGGACACTGAAGTTCAACATTTTGAATCTGAGGGAGAATAGGAAAATAGAAACTACCCCGTGCTC